ATCTTTTAGCTATCACAACTAAATAACTTTGCTATAAAAGCAAAAAAATTTGTTCCTGCAGTTAATATTTTTAGTTGTCCATATATTAGCAAATCTTTTTTTTCCGTGTAGATTTCATATAAATCAGTGCAAGTGGAACATCGTCTTTCTAAATTGTTCTCTAAATTTCTTCGAGTCGAGTTACACGAGCGACTCTTCACTCATGAAGTGACTCTGAATTGTTAAATAAATTACTCATTTCGAGTGGAATCTCACTTAAAGAAATTTTGAGACTTTTATTAATTTAGTTATCTCATTTACGCAATGAAAACCGTCACGGAAGGTAGATTATTGAATACATACGTATACATATATTCTATATTAAAAGTTTAAATTATTGAAATACGTATATATATATTCTATATTGAAAGTTTAAACATTCGTATTTAAAAACCAGACAATAAGCATGCCCAGGATTAAATACGTATCCGGGAATCGGGACTTTTACTTAACGTTTCGCCTAGATGATCTTACTCGAGGAAATTTGAAGAATGAAATATTTAAGGATTCGACATTATCTGGCATTCTCTGACTTTCCATTACGTGCACGCGCGAAAAGCAAGAGACACGGGCGAGTTCACTGTTACGCCGTATATGTATATATATGTGTGTAATTCACGTGTCTCGCCAGTCACATTTAACGAATTCGCACGGAAGTTACTTGGCAATCTTCTCCGCTCGGACGGCGGCGCCGTTCACAAGGGCGGCACGACAAATTACACGCCTTCTACTCGCACTCTCCATTATGCCGATCGTCTTCTTTGTCCGTTTAAGCTTTGCGGCGGGAGGGGTAGGTGTGACTGCGGTACCTGCAATTGCGATCCAGGATGGGGTGGCGAGAAGTGTGACTGCAAGGAGAGCAACAGCACATGCATCCCGCCGTCGAGCGGGAACGTCGAGATTTGCAGCGGTCGCGGCGATTGCATCTGCGGCAGCTGCCACTGTCATGAATGGAACAATATCCGATACTCCGGGGAATATTGCGAGGAGTGTCCTGTGAGTGCCCGCACGCGTTGCACGAAAAGAATATCGGGGATATCGTGCGCGCGCTGCAATTACCACAAGGAGAACCGTGGCAGAAACGAATATATTAATCTTTATTAATTTTAATTACCATCATACGGGCACGGTTTGCGCGCGATTATGATTTCTATCGTCATACGGGACGTAAACGGCTGTAATCATGAAATTACGTATCCGCGAAGATGTTCAAAATTAAACCCATTGTTAAATTCGCAATGAGTTAAATCATTTGAATATCAATAATTCAAATGTATTATTTATCCTTAGCTCAATCGGTATGTTCAGTAAGTAACGTTAAAACATTTCCTCGTGTAATTGACTCGAATCAGATATCTTGCATGACGAATATTTCTCTTGCAGAAATAAATCACTTATTTACGACACGTTTTAGACATGTCCAGGACAACGATGCGAGGAGCTCAAGGACTGCGTGGAGTGCACGGTGTACAAAACAGGACGGCTTGCAAAGAACGGAAAATGCAGCTTATGTTCGCACGACATTGATATCGTTAGTAATATTTCCTTCAAGATAGCATCTACCTCGCAAGCTGCGCGAGGTCGACGAACAATTTGCAATGCGACGCAAACGGGCGGTTTATTAATTCGCAGATCAAAGTCGTCGAAGAAGATCCTTCGGACGAGGAGACCGGTGCCCGCATATGTCGTACACCCGGCGACGAAGGCTGCACGTTCGTTTTCAAATATCAGTATAACAGTAATCGCGGGGACATCAAACTCTACAAGATTCAAGCTCAAGAAGAAAGATCCTGTCCGACACCTATTAATGCCTTGGGTAGTCCTTCTTGTCCCGCGAATCATGCTTTAGCGCGTGTGTCACCAAATAACTCATTTGCATCGCACTCTTTTTCGAGTACAAGAGACGAGTCTTTTCTTTTAGTATTGAACTCGTGAAAAGTCAATATTTCCAAAAGTTTCCAAGTTAAAAAACTTTCACTTTTCACAAATTTAGAGAAAAATGGTCGACTCATCTCTGTCGACTGAACTTCGCGATCATCTTCATTAAATGATTGTTATCTACGTTCGATCATTCTCGCAACGCGCACGTACAATCGCGGAGAATGTTAAATTCCGACGCAAAGAATAAACGCTTTGCTGGCTTGTCCATTCAAATCTTACATTTATATGCGTTTGGAAGCCAGCATAAGGCACCACCGTGTGTCGATTGTGTGCATAACAACGCGGTTGAATGTGCAAGAAGACACGAAAGACATGGATTAGAATTTACCTTCTCCCGTAGGTGTTGCGCTGGGCGTCATCATAAGCACCGTCGTCATCGGTTTCCTGATTCTCCTCATTTGGAAGATCCTCACAATGATCCACGACAAGAGAGAATACGCCAGGTTCGAGAAAGAGCGCGCCCTCGCCAAGTGGGATAGGGTAAGTCGTCGTCGAGTTTTCTAAACGCGTGACTGCGAGATTGTCGGAATGTCAACGTGAGAATGTTTCAGGGTGAGAATCCTCTCTACAAACCGGCGACGTCCACCTTCAGCAATCTGGCATACAATGAGAACACGAATGGATAATTTATAATTTAAACTCATTGTGATATATCACAAACTTAGCATAAGTTATGCTTCAAATTATATTTCTCCTAAAAAAGAGAAATTATATTTCTCCTCGTTAAAAATTAACATAACGCTTTGAACAAGAAGTCGGCGAAGTTGCTTTAGCTTCAGTGATATTATTTTTATATAACGCCATTTTTATATATTTTATATATATTTTATATATACACTGAAACTTAGTGGTCACCTTTGCATTTTTTAAATTGATATTCTATTTCTTGCGTAAAAGACAGAATTTTGAAATTTTTTAATTTTCATCAAACGCCTCCTTTATTCTGACGGAATATTCAGTTCAATTATATCTTTTACACAAGAAACAGGATATTAAAAATGAAAATAATCAAAGCTGATCGTTTATTATCTAGTGTTAAGATATTTCTAGATGTTAAGGACTGCTTAATTTATTGTTTTATATTTCGACGTTGCAAATATTGTAAATACGTCGATCAATTGAATTGAAAAATACATACGCACGGCGCGAGACGTTCGTGCACGTTCAACGAAACAAAATGTATACGAGTCTTATACACTTTGTTGTATAAATGTCATGGAATCATATTACATACGAGCGGGAATACCCTTCGCAAGAGTAACGGGAGACTTCAACGCCAGTCAGCGGATCTATCGACTGGATCCGACGACTGGCGCCGCGTTAAGTGAACGTCTCGAACGAGCCGCGGTGGCTCGCCATGTTGTTTAATTGCCGCATAATGAGACGACCAATCGGCAGCGAGAATTTCACTCACCGTCTCGTGCAAAAACGAGCAAAACTCACAACGGCTCTTTCTCCTTCTCCATTGCCTCGCATACTTCTCGCGCTCATCGAGCTCGTAATAATACATCTTCGCAAATACTTCCTGCTTCCCCCTATTCATTGCGAGATCTAGTCGCGTAGGTTTCCCAGCGGCACTTTTCATCATTTTGCTCTATCCTCGTAAAGCTACTTTCACACCGACCAGTCGCGGAATCACGAAAATTAGGTGTACGTGCTTTGCTGTGTTGCTAATAATCATTATCAACAACGCGATTTCTGAATGAATAATTTGTTTTCAATAAATGTAATAAAATAAAATTTGCTAAAAAATCGAATCAAACTTTCTGACTGATTATATATTTGATATTTAACTTTGAACTAATGTTACGGAGAATGAGTTACTTATATTTTATGGCAATTGCTATGACTCTCTCTTTTGGCAACTTGCGAACATTTCTGACTGTAACTATTTTGTGTCTTAACCGTAGAAAGCCTGAAGTCCGTATTAATAGTTATTACTTGAAATTCGTCTCAAGTAAAATACTCAAATTTGAGTTTGGAGTTGGAAGTGAGCTTTTCAGCGGAATCGCGATTGCAAATATAAAATGTCACGTATATCAATTAATTTAAATGAATAACTCAGATTTAACTTTAAATTCAAATCTACATATTTAACGTGAGATAAGCTTCAAGTAACGACTATTAATATGGAGCTTAGATTTGAATTCAGACTTAGATGAGAATTTTTCTGTTAAATCGCACGATTACGAATATAAATGTCACATATATCGTAATTCATCTGACAAATTAGGGTTTAATTCTGAATAAGAGTCTGAGTATCTCACATGAAATAAATTTTAGGTGACAACTATTGAGATACGGGCCTTATCAACTTCCATTCATTTCCATCCTCAAGAACGCGCATCTCCTTATCTCCAGGATCCCTAAATCCATTTTCTAAGTCCGCCACTGCGCTTTAGTGGTCTCCATCTCGCGCTTGGAGTATCCTAAATCAATCAACGGCCAATCGATGTAATAACACGTATCACCGACCTGTACCATTACTTTTCGATTTTATCAGCGGGACACCCAGCGTCGTTATCCGGCAAATAGAGCGAGCGACGGCTTCGGGCCGAGGAAGAGAGGACGGGTCGATCGCGCGATCACTCGTAAATCAATTCTAAATTTGATCCGGGCCTCCTCTTGGGCTTGAGATAGATCCTGCCCGGCCCGATTGTTTCGAATATCCTCTGGCCTCGTACTTTATTGCCCGCTACGCTCACGAGCAAGGCAGGGCCTCGGCTCGTAAGGAGCTCGTAAATTCGTCACCATACTCGGCTCCTGCCGCAAAACCCCGCGGCGCGGGAGCCGAATCTCGTTGTATTTCCCACAGGAAACTTAAGGCGCTAACCACATTCGGAGTGTGTACTCATGATTTGATTAAATAATCCCGACGAGCGAGTGAATGAAAATTACCCAAGCGGATTGAGAAAATTAGACACGAGCAAGAGAATAATAGCGGATAAAAAAGATTAAGGAATTTATTCACACACCAGATGTGTATTTACAGAACGCTCAAGTGGCGTTTTCAATGGCGTGTCAAAGTTATATGCTACACATAAATTCGCTACTTATCGAGCAAAATTATATTTTTATATGTCTATTTCATTATCTAAATCTAAATAAAATATTTCTTAAAGTTATTAAAGAAATTAAAGTATTTCTTGTGAACGATGAAGACAAATCGCACGAAACTTTATAATACTTTCTTTTTCAATAAATACACACACAAACGAGAAATATATTCGAAGAGCGACCGAGACAACTGTGTCGAATCCGAGAAACTTGTTTGCCGTTTCACGGGCGAATATTCTCTGTGAAGAGAACCTCCAATAGGCCGAAGCGCCACAATGAAATTCACGGACAGAAATTCACATTTGTCGAGCGTCTTTGTTTAACTTGCGAAATCTTGTTAGTTGGCTCCGTCATCAGTCACGGTGCCTTTAACGCCTCGTAAATGCGAGATACGCACCGCTCAAAATAGCCAGGACCACGCCTATTACCTGTGCGGCGGAGGAGCCTACAGGATCATTTGGGCGACTTACGCTCGCAAATGGGCCGCGCTGATGAATTAGCGCTCGATTACGAGGCGATGCGCTTTTTCAGAACGGGCCATCGACTCCTACTTTAGTCTTCTCCTAATTAGTTCCCGGTCCGACGATACGTGCTGGCGTGTGCGTTTGTCTTCTTTTTCGGCAAACGCATATCGATCATGCGTCTTCAGGGTCGAGGGCAAAATCCGATGGCATTTAAAGAACAATAATTTTAACGTCGTTTCTTCCCTTCTCGTCTCGCGAGATTTAAATGACTGGAATATTTAATGACTATTTGCCATGTCGGTAACTCATCTTCCAATGTGGAATATACAGAAAGAATTTTATAGTAAATTATTGTATAGGATTTTGTAACCGAGGAATCGACATTTCGCAGTAATTCATTATCTTTTTATTTTATACGTGCTATTTATACTTCAGAAACTGAAATGTGCTATTTAAACATTTGCCATGTTTCTAACGAATTTTACCATATTCCTCAGCAAGATAGACCTTACTGACAGTTTATTCTTGGACTAGTAAGAAAACCTAGTAAAATTGAAAAGAATTCATATAAAAAGAAAACTATAATATTCTCCCGCGTGTACTTGAGTATTATTATTCACGAAGAAAACGCAAGGATATCACTTGTTTAAATATGGTTGCCATAATAAAATATTACCATTACAAAATATAAAATATAGTTTTTATATTTACCATAGACCATTCACACATAGATAGGTCAACCAAGATGGTTACAGTAATCATAGTACTCTGGAAGTGGTACACTAACCTTCTCTATTGCCTATTCATATGTGTTTGAGCAATATTCTCAGTCATGGCAAATAGTCATTAAATATTCCAGTCATTTAAATCTCGCGAGACAAGAAGGGAAGAAACGACGTTAAAATTATTGTCCTTTAAACGCCATCGGATTTTGTCTTCGACCCTGAAGACGCATGATCGATACTGTATGGTGCAACCGAACTCTACGGATTTCTCAACCATACTATTCGCTCTGCAGATCACAACAGAAAGACTAATATTTCTTTGGTTAAGATAACTATGTATACAAGAATGTATTAACTGAATATTATATATTATAAGAAGGCTATATAGATGGGCGTGTAATAACAGAAATTTTTAATGGTATATCTATTTCACTTGAAATCACATAAGTTTTCTCTTTAACCATAGAATATGTGCATATGGCAACTATAATATTTTTCTCCGTGTTGTAAAATGCCGCGATTAGTTTTGCGCATTGATTCTTCCGCGCATTGTCCGCCAATTTCTCGAAGTTGATCGACTTTATATTTCATGACTATTTCATAGCGCGCAACTATATCGTCGGCAATATAGTCGTCGTAAAAAAGCCCGATCTTTGCCTTTGGATTCCACCTGGTCCGGTCGAGGCTACTTCTTCCTCGGGGCGCATCCGCCCTTCGTATGACCGGACCTTAAGGACCTCAGAAAACTACCCCGAGGTGGACGAGGAGAACGGGGTGAGGAGGACGAAGGAACGACGGGACCCGGTGCTCTGCGCACTAAATCACCGCCGCACGTCCGTTTCTTTACATTGCGCAGATTTTATTGATTATTTTACGGCCGGGAACATTGTAAATCTCTTCATCCCGCGTCGGCGGTCCTGCCGGCACCGCTGCGAGGTGGCCCCATTGGGGCGCCCATAGCGCCAATTATGTGAGGCCAGAGGTATTGTTGCCATATTCGTCTCTCGATATGGCAGGAGCGTTCCGCGTAACACCGTTCCACCGCCTTGGCCAAGTGGATTTTTGACAGTCGCTCGTTTGTTCAGCTCACTCGCTTCCATCCGGTGTGAAAGTTATGCGCCAACGTGGATAACTGGGGGTTATTGGCTCTAGATGAGACAAAGGTACGGTTAAACACAATATTAATTAATGATGAAGCTAATTAAAATTGGTTTGGTAAATAATAACAAATAATAACATACAATTTGATAATAATTATATAGTTTGACTATTATCAAAGTCTTTTCATATTTTTATCACATAATATTAAGTAAGTATTACTAAATAATATGGTTTTATTTCATAAATTGTTTGATGATACATAGCGCATATATAAATTGGTAATAGTCATCAAGTCATAGCAATATATATACTAAGTTTTGTTAAGATTATTTGCTAATACTTACCAAATTACTTGATTATATTCACTTACGTGTGTTTAGTTGAAACTATTTCACTAAAAGATCTAATTATTATCCAGGCTTGATGATTATTACAAAATCACTTTTTTAGAGAGAATTTGTCATGAGCATTAAATTTCTTCAAAATATATTCTAAATCCTAGCAAACTTATTATTTCAATCAAGAATATTAAATTAAAAATACATAGAGTCCACCCGACTTTTCCTGCAGATACAATTTTATAATATTCTTATAAAAAGAGTAAATTCTTCTTTTGAGTACACGATAATGAGCTTTTCTTAAATTTGTGATAAGTATATTTTAAGATTATTATCAAGAAAACATGTTCTTAGTTGAAGATAATCATTACTCGAAAGAAGCAAATGCAGCAATCGCTTTTCTTAGCAATAAAATGATATTTTTCTGTGTGCAAATTGTTGCCTTGCATCAGTTATGCTTGGTTGCTTTCACCGGGTTTGCACGTATGTATATTAGTAATGGGTGAAAAATCGTGAGTCTACCTACACACGTGAATGGACGAGAAAGGCACTTATTACGGCAAAACACACGTCGGGAGGTAAAAGAATATAGAATGTACTCATGATTACGCGCGTAAATACTTTTGACTAGTTATATCGACTGATATCTGATGGATTTCTCGTTAACGAATCGAATAACGTCACGTCTGTTCAACAACCTCAACGTACGTTAGCAACGCGTTTCCCCGCAGTATGACTTTCCATCGTTGCGAAAACACGCAAAACTCGAAAATTTCACGGACAAATTTACAGAAAACTAACGCTTGTTCGATATCTTTGCCGTATCAGACTTAGTTTTCGCATGACGTCGAGGAAAGGACCTAGCAGTGAGATGAGAGGACAGAATCCTTGCGCGATTTGATTTACGCGCGGTGCGCGCCGAACAATGTTGTTCGTTTTCGCGGTCCGCTAATGGTCGCCGC